GTGAGGATCTCTTTTGGTCGTGTTTATTAGGGGTTCTGTGAGCTTCCTGTACTAGGATTTCTCTGTCCTTCTCCAAACCTGAGAAATTTTCTGCTAATATCTCACTAAAAAGGCCTTCTAATCCTTTCTCCCTCTCCATGCCTTCAGGAACTCCTAGAACCCGAATGTTGGGTTTTTTAATAGTATCCTGAAGATTCCTGACAATATGTTTTAGATTTCTAATTTCCTCTTCTTTTCTTTGGTCTGACTGTATCCTTTCCTGTTCTCTGTCTTCTAAGTCCAATATTCTCTCTTCTGCTTCACCCATTCTGTTTGTAAGGCTCTCTAATGTGTTTTTCATTTGATCTATTGAATTCTTCACTTCATTATGATTTCTCGTCACTATCACAGTTTCCTGTTGTACTAGTTGTTTCGTTTCATTTTGATTCCTCCTTAATATTTCATTTTCACGAGAGAGATTTTCTATCTTGTCCATTAAGGATTTCTGTAGTTCAAGAATTTGTTTTTGAGAACTTCTTAATGTTCTTATCAATTTTTTGAGATCTGCTTCTTGCATTTCTTCTATGTCATCATCCTCATAATCCTGAATTGGGGTGTCTTTTTCATTTGAGGGCGTCATGGTGACTTCCTTGTTTTTATTACCTCGGTTTTTGCATTTGTTATTTGGCATATTGGAGATATTTGGTTTCTTCACTGTGGTGCTTTTTCTTGTTATACTATGACTCTAGATCAAATGGACTGTCTGTTTTTGATGGAGCTTTAGGGCTTGAGATGGGTGTGGCCTGAATGCTCTGTTTGGTGTGCCAAAGGTGACACTCCCAGGTTAGGCGTGGTAAATCTCTCTCTCTCTCTCTCTCTCTCTCTCTCTCTTTCTTTCTTTTTTTGATTCAAAAGGGAAGTAATTCCACACAGCTGAACGAAGTTGGAGGTAGTTAGCAGGCAAATGATATACCCATAGGAGCCAGAGATCAGAAGCTCTTTCCCAAGGACCACACAGGGAATCTGTTCGGCCCTCAGAGTGGGCTCAAATTCTCCTTCAGTCTCCCACCGGGTTGCCAAAGTTACGGAATTGTAGCGTCTCTGGAGAGTACTCATGTGAATTCCGTGAGTTCTCTCCCCCACCGTCTCCTTTTTCACAGTCTCAGTTCAGTAGCACCACAAATTTACTAGGTCCTAATCTCCTGTTAATTCGCCCTGCCCAGAGTCAGGTTTTTCTGCTAGGCTCAGGGCCAGTGCAGACCTGAGGTCACTCTGCTTATGACATATGTCCAAGATGGCGCCTGCTCTTTGTCTTGCTCACCCTTGAGAGGTGAGTGGAGAGAGAGAAACCCGTGTCCATACCAGTCACCTTTTTTTTTCTTTCTCTCTCTCTTCCAGTTAGCCTGGTGAACTTTTCCCCCCTGGGGGTCGTTCCCTCTAGTCTCCTCTCTCCGCTTGCCTGCCAGTGTCTCGGGCTATTGAGGTTCGGCTCACCTCGCGTTCCAGCGCTGGTGTGTTGAGTCTGCTGCTGGAGTCCCGAACTGTGGGCTCCCACGCTCTCCACACAGGTCCACTGTGAATCACGCATTCCGGAAGAGTTTCTTCTGCTGTTTCCTCCCCTACTCTTCCTTGAACCTGCAGTATCTCCACTTTTATTAAACTATCTCTCCCCGGACTATCAGTGTGCTCCCTTCCTATTCCGCCATCTTGCCTCTGCTTCTCAAATTTTGATATCTGATGTTTTCAGTTTCATTTAGCTCAAATATTATATAATTTTATTTTTGATTTCTTCATTGTCTTGTGGATTATTTAGAAGTTTTAACTCAGTTTCTGAATATTTGAAAACTCTCAGGATAGATTTCTGTTCTTAATTTCTAGTTTAATTCAATGAAGTCAGTGAACATACTTTGCATTTTTGGAATTATTATAAATTTATCTAGGTTGTTTTTAGCCTACAATATTTATTAACTGTGTAAACGATTCTTGCATATATGGAGTCAGCACTGTAGTGCACCAGATAAGCTGCTGCTCACATTGCCAGCATCTCATAGGGGTGCTGGTTAGAGTCCAGGCTGCTCCACTTCCAATCCAGTCCCCTGCTAATGCACCTGAGAAAGCATCAGAAGACGGCTCCAGTACTTGGACCGCTGCACCAATGTGGGAGACCTGGATGAAGCTTCTGGCTTCTGGATTTGGCCTGGCCCAGCCCTGGCTATTGTGGCCATTTGGGGAGTGAACCAATAGATGGAATACCTCCCTTCCTCCCAGTACCCTCCTCTCGAACTCTGCTCTGCTAATGCCTTTCCCTCTCTATGACTCTGCATTCCAAATAAATAAATAAATAAATCTTTTTTAAAAGAATGATGCTGTTGCTTTGTGTAGCATTCTATAAAAGCCATTAAATAATTTTGATTGTTAGCATCATTTATCTTCTTTGCACTTATTGATTTTCTACATACACATTCTATCAGTTATTGACAAATTTTACATTTGCATTTCATCACTTTTAGTGTTGTGATTTTTTTACCATGCATTTTGAAACTATTTATATGTACCTTGATTATTTGATTCCTTTGTTATCATAAATAGGGCTTTTCATATTTCTTTTCTATTCCTTGTCCTTAAAATTACTGTAAAGGGACAACATGTACTTTTCCTGCTCTTATACAGTCAGTTCTCAATATAGAATGTGTTTAGTCACCAAAATACAGCTCCAGTTTTCTCCATGCCACCAGCAATACTCCATATACCAATCACAAGTCTGGGCTCCTAGAATTTCTGATGACCAGCTATGAACTGGAGATTCCCATAACCCTCTCCTTGTATTTAGTCATTTACTAGAGCAACCCACCTAACTTAGGAAAGTTCTTGACTTACATCACCAGCTTATTCTAAAGGATGTAAAAAGGCTACTGATGAGTTGACAGATGAAGAATTATATAAGGTAAGTTGTGAGAAATACTGATATTCCTGTAAACATTACTAAATTCTCTCCTGTGACACAATAATTTGGGAAGAGTTATCCTTCAGAAATTTTTCTATCAGCATGGTTTGGTGGAATCAGATCAATCCTTACTCTTAGGTTACATTTTTCTCTGCTCATGAGGCTATACTCTTCTCAGTATTCTCATTGATGCCTTTTACTTTGTAGTATATTCCTCCCTCGACCTGATAAAAACAGACTATCCATTTGATATCTAGGTCTTTGTCCTTATTTCTTTTTTAAGAGACTTATTCATTTGACAGAGTTACAGAGAGAAAAGAGAGAAGAGAGAGAGATATCCTTCATCTGCTGGTTCACTCCCCAGATGATCTCAATGGCCTGGCCTGTCCAAACTGAAGCCAGAATATAGGAACTTCATCCGAGTCTCCCACATGGGTGGCAGCGTCCCAAACAATTTGACAATTTTCTGCTGTTTGTCCTAGGCCGTTAGTAGGGAGCTGGATTAGAAGTGGAGCAGCTGGGACTTGAACCAGCACCCAAATGGGATGCTGGCACTACAGTGTAGTGGGATGCTCCCACTACAATAATTCTTAAGAGCTGTCTTGTGCATCAGTATCCTTGCAACATTCTGCACTGTCATTTCTTATTGCCTTGACTTTACAGGATTCAGAATTTAGATAGCTGTTAGATTCTCTCCTCTTCCTCTTCCCCCTCCTTCTCTCTCTCTCTCTCTCTCTCTCTCTGTGTGTGTGTGTGTGTGTGTGTGTTTCCTCTCACTTGGTGTGACTCTGTGATGCATGTCAGACACACATTGCTAATTTTTCCTTCTATCAGAAATCATTGTCTGGTTTTTGTCACACGTCTGAAAACCATTGCTTCATGCTTACTTTCTTCTTTCATTTTAGTTGTTTCAGGCAGGGAGGTAAATCTGTTCCTCAATTCTCCTTCATGGTTGGATATGTAAATCTAATTGCTTTTTAGGATTAGAAACACAATGCTGAGGGATAATTCACCACAAAATACATATTAAATTATATTTATCAACTTGTTATAATACTAGATGTTCATTCCAATATAGAATAGAGAATAAAATCCATAAATCCCTAATTTATATCTAGAGATATGTGAGTTGTTATGAAAACAAACTATTTTAAAGCATGATTACTACTTTTAAGTAGCTTGTAATAGCTACAATAATATAGATAACAAATAGTTTTTATAAAGTCTTTGTAAGTGAGTCATTCACTTACAAATCATAACCTAAACATGAGTCAGCAGCACCAACTATGTGTTAGTTCAGCCTTTAAAGTTGCGTATCTTGGGGGCTGGCGCTGTGGTGCAGCAGGTTAACACCCTGGCCTGGAGCGCCAGCATCCCATATGGGTGCCGGTTTGGGTCCTGGCTGCTCTACTTCTGATCCAGCTCTCTGCTATGGCCTGGGAAAGCGGTAGAAGATGGCCAAGTCCTTGGGCCCCTGCACCCATGTGGGAGACCCACAGGAAGCTCCTAGCTCCTGGCTTTGGATCTGGATCAGCGCAGCTCCGGCTGTTGCAGCCAATTCCCAAATTTGGGAATGACCCAGCAGATGGAAGACCTCTCTCTCTGCCACTCCTCTCTCTGTGTAACTCTGACTTTCAAATAAATAAATAAATCTTGAAAAAAGCTACATATCTCTAGAAGACATTTCTGGAAGGCTAGGAAATTTATAGATGTGAAAAATAATGTACTACAGATTTAATATTTTGTCCCCCAATATTTATATTTTGAAATCTTAAATCCCCATTTCACATATTAAGAGTTTGAGTCCGAGGTGAGTGGGGTCCGCAGCCCTCCCCACCACCCTCTGGGCACCCTAGGGTGAGGAGAGGGGGTGCCACAGCTTCCCCATGGCTCCCTCTCCCCGCCTTCCCCACACGAGTGGCCCCAGTGACCTCCTTCTGGGCTCAAATCCTACCTGTGGCCAGAACCCGGTGTCTTGTATGAAAACTGCAGAGGAGGAGTGAGAGAGCCTCTCTAGACGACCTCGTTCTCTAACACACTCCTTACCCCTTTTGATTTTTAAATCCTCATAGGACACATGACCAAAACCAAAGATGGCCATGAAGTGAGATTGTGCAAAGTAGCAGATAAAATGGGCAGCATCACTATTTCTGTGTGGGATGAGATTGGAGGTCTCATACAGCCAGGGGATATAATTCAGTTGACCAGAGGGTATGTGTCCACGTGGAAAGGATGTCTGACACTTTATACTGGAATGGGTGATGAACTTCAAAAAATTGGGGAGTTTTGTATGGTTTATTCAGAAGTGCCAAATTTTAGTGAACCCAATGCAGATTATCCAGGACAGCAGAACAAAGGGGCACACAGTGAACAGAATAATTCCATGAATAGTACTATGGGTACAGGTACATTTGGACCAGTGGGAAATGGTATTCAACCTGGCCCTGAGTCATGGGGATACCAGTTTTCATATGCTGGTAGAAGCAGTGGCCGGGGAACTATAAATCCACAGCTGCCAGGAACAGCCAAGAACCAGTCAGGACCACAATAAGTAATGGCAGGGACCCTCAGAGAGCCTTTAAAAAATGACCTATGCCAAATACTCACATGTAGTTCTTAAGCTACATGTTCTACTTGAACACTTACTGTACTTTTATTTATTGTTATCTGTGAAAACTATGTAGTTTTTTTGTTTCCTTTTCCATTTTTGGTTTGTTAAGAAGAGTGATTTGTTTTTATAGGAAAACTGTTAAGCTGTTCAAGTCTTCTGTTGAAGAATGGGAACATTCTGAAAAGTAGGGGCATTTATTTTTAGAACAAAAATGTTGGCTATAGGGGTTGGCGTTGTGGCGCAGCGGGTTAAAGACGCGGCCTGCAGTGCTGGCATCCCATATGGGTGTCGGTCTGAGTCCCGGCTGCTTCTCTTCTGATCAGCTCTCTGCTATGGTCTGGGAAAGCAGTACAAGATGGCCAAGTCTTTGGGCCCCTGCACCCGTGTGGGAGACCTGGAAGAAGCTCCTGGCTCCTGGCTTCGGATCAGCACAGCTCTGGTTGTTGCCGTCATTTGGGGAGTGAACCAGTGGCTGGAAGACCTCTCTCTCTCTCTCCCCCTCTCTCTGGCTCTACCTCTCTCTCTGTAGCTCTGACTTTCAAATAAATCTAAAAACAAAAAATGTTTCGCTACCCTCTAAACAACCTGTACCCATTTCATTGGTGAGTTACTTAAGACATCAGTTTTATAGCCTCTATGAGTCTATCATCTGAATAAATTTTGTAACATTAACATAAGGCTTAGTGGGAGATGTTATCTCTCAAATTCAGATAATTGCCAACTAAAGCAATAACTACAAAAAAAAAAACAACAACAACAACAAAAAAAAAAAAAAAAAAACCACCAGAACAAAAAGACAAAACCCCACACAAACCTGGTTAATACAGTGTTTTGAGCACTTGTGACTCCAGGAATAATTGACTTCTTCCATTGAGTGACGAGTGCTAAAATGTTTCCAGGATTGAATCATCCTAAATTCTTGTTTTACCAAAAAACCATATTCTTTATCAGAATTACGGAGTAGAATGTGATCTGTATAGTAACAATTGATTTTTAGAATAAAGATACTTTTCCATAATTAGGGTAGTGCTCTTAACATTTGTTACCAAACTTGAAGGGAAATTTAAAACTGAAGCCTTGAATATTTATTTTTTGAAACTACCATGTTAAATATTGAAGTACATTTTGAAAGAATCACAAAGTCATAACAAACGTTGATCTAATTATTTTTAAAAAATAATAGTAGTAACCATCACAGAAAAAGTTACTCAAGTTAAAAAAAAAGTTTTGAGTTCTTGTGTAATTAGGCCATTACAACCAATCTGTTAAGAATAGGATTAGTACCCTTATGAGAATAAGCCAAGTGAGAGGATTTCTCTAGAGTATGAGGGTAGAAGAAGATGCCCATCTGCAAACAACAAAGGGAACCCCCACCAGACACATTCATGCACATTGATCTTGGGCTTCCCAGCCTCAAAACCGTGAGAAAAAAGTCCTGTTATTTAAGCGACTAAATAGTATTGTGTCATCACAGCTCAGAGTAATACATACGTTCATATAATTCTAAAGCCTAATATTAACTTCCAAATAAAGACTGCTATCTTTTTTATTAGAATAGTTCCTCAATGGCACACAAAAACCAAGAAAATATTTTTAATCTCACCAGCTTTTTTACTGAAGTTAGACATCACTCTTTTGGCATACAACACTGGATTCATGAGTTATATATCACTTCCTTTCAAGTTTGTTGTAAACAGCAAGTGGTTTCTCATTTATTAACTTCCATTTTCTTTAGCCTTCACAACATCACAATGTTGTGAAAAAAATAATAGCAACTGTGAATGCTGTTTGCTCTTTGTGCCACGTGCATCAGAGTTTGCATCCTCTCTGGGGGTCCCTAATGCCTGCACATCAGTTCTCCTGAATCTCTCCTCCTGCCTTGATCTGATCTTCCTTCTCAGCATGTTCCTTCTCGGGATGCATGGAAAATAATCAGTCTTCTGAAATCATTAGTTCCCTTTCACAGAATATCAAAATGAACCAATTTCAGTGTCTAGAATTTTCTTTCAACAAAAACATTAAAAGGTCTGATTTTGTTTCCACTTAGTTTAAATCCTTCACCTACTAAATTTCATGGAACCAGAGCTGAACAGGAATGTGAAAATTTTATTCTCTCTCTCTCCCTGTATAAATAGATATATAGATACATACGTACACACATCCCCTTTTTCTCCCTTTCTCATATTTATTAATTTAATTTAAGCTAATATGCAAAGTAAGTTATTCTTTCCTAAGCTTCTAGTTAACTATTTCACCCATCTAAAGAAAATAAATTACACATCATTCAAACTACCAAATGGATCCTTTGTAAAGAAACACATTTAATCACTATTCTATTGCATTCTACATTTTTTCTCTAGTCACAGATTCTGGCAAGTTTGAATTACAGTTGTTGAGTAGAAATAACAGAATTAGATGTTGGATTATTGAATGCCATGTGGAGAAGAATGTGCGTCATTGCTTGGAGAAAGACTACCTACTGCATAAGCCTGGTGTGAACCACTATTATTTACAAGTGCAAAGCAGTCTGAAAATGTCATTATGGAAGGAACATATTCTTGGTTGCTATAAGGGAGGCAAAGCCTTGATTTTCTCCTTCACCTTGAAGCCAATGTGTCTAACGTCTGCTATTCCACATCTACAGGAAGGCATTACAATGTGATTAAAATGATTTTGTTGGATGTCTGACAGAATAATTCCTACTGAGAAGTAGGCACATTAAAAAGAAAAATACTTTAAGACACCCAATATTAGTGGAAAGTACACTTAGAAAGGAGACACCTGAATCATTTTCAGAATCATGAACAAACCTGCAACCTAAGTTACTGTGATCTGAAAACACTCTTGAAATTCTGCGGTGATGGCAATTGGGGCAAACAGCTAAGAGGGCCGCATAGTGATCAGATTCTCATGACTTTTCTCACCATTGCTGAATTAGTAAATACTGGTCATCTCCTAGGGGAGGGAGGGCTTGGTACATATCCAAAATAAAGGAGTTAGAATAAACATCCAAGATCATGTACACTTATTTACATTCAGCTGTGGGATCCTTAGTGGTTCGCCCATTCTAGTTTCATTACTACGTTTTGCTCATGTTGAGAAGCTCCCCAGCATTGAGAGTCACCCCAGAGCTTTAAATCAAATCATGCATCTGGTACATTTCTGGCCCCCCAGGAAAAAGGCTCAGCTGCCCAAGCTCCAGCCAACCTCTAGGGAATGTGTAAGGTCAAACACCAGAACCTTTGTTTGTATCAGTGACTAATAAGTGAAGCTGTCAAAACTTTTGGATTAAACACACAACATTTTTAAATGCTGTAAAAGTTTATCATCACATCACAAAACCTATAATATCCTAGCTCTGAGGGCAAACATGTGCATGCAGTAGCTATCAGTCCTATATGCCACATAACTTACATGTGAATCACACAGTAATAATAAATTAATTCAAACATTTAAAAACCTACCTGACCATTAGCCTCAGACATCAGCAAAATTTTAACTATTCCTTAATGATTTCAGTTCTTTCCTTCCTAAGGCATTAAATTTTGGTACAGTATAGCAAAATAACTAGTTTTAGGTGGAATTATGCCAGCAGTACTTGTAAAGAGGAAGCATTTAGTGTAATTTCTCAATTGCAGTGAAGGATCAGCCTATTAATATATTTTTTCCATTTCTTTCTTATTCCAGAAAAGGTTCCCTATATTTGGCTTCTCCAAGAATACTTAATTGTGCCACTCAGTTTCTATGTATAATTTTAATTACTCAATTCCATCTAGTTAGAAATTAAGGCAAAGAAAGTCATTCCTTATTTTGCACCTACATGATGTTTCACCAACTGTTTAAATATTGTCTTTAAATTGATTTTCAGCTATTATGTCCTGAAATTATACCTGATTCTACTATTAGTGGACAGAAGTGCATCTCATTTTTCAAGAGTGATTTCATCCCTTGACTATTTGAAACATTTTTATAACATAGAAATAAGTATAGGCTTATGCTAGGTATTCAACTCATGATTATCAGGTGAATAAAAAAACTGAATTACAATCTGTAGTATATAAAGGCATGAGTATCGAAGTCTGACTTTCATATGGGTCTGCCTGCTGAGCTTCAGAGTGGATGCTATGACATGAGAAACAACTTCCTGCTAAATGCATACAATAAAAATACTATATACAAATTATCAATAATGTACCTCTGTGTTTCAGAAACGTCTGTATGTTCCTCACTAGAGAGTAAATTAAGAATCAGAAATGGTTGCAAATATTTCTTTTCTAATTTCAATATTTGCACACAGAATGATTATAAAATGATCCCTAGAGATTTTTTTCATAAATGCAGACATCCAGGTCCATATTTGTAGGATGAATGATTCACTAGTTCTGGAGAGAGTTGCAGGTATTGTCAGTTTTAATCAGGATTCCAGGTGCTGCTCCATGCTCCCTGCTGAATCGGACAGTCATAACTGTGCTGTAATCATTGCACAAATGCTCCATTTTGTGGTCACTTTAATATGAACTGTTTATTGTTCTATTTTATTATTACTAGACAATCACACATGTAACTTTGAGATTCCAGGTGTACAGAGAAGTCCCACCTGACTCTTCTCTAGGTAACAAGAAATTCACACTGCCATGTTATGGTCACTTTTATGTCCTTGTTTTTCTTATACATGTCATATCTAAGACTTACTGGAGCCCACTGTGAATGAAAGATGATTTGCATAAAGTATTAACCACCAACATGAAAGTGATTTAAACTTTCTGTCATTCTCTAATGAAATACGTTGCCTTTTTTTTTTTTTTTTTTTTTTTGACAGGCAGAGTTAGACAGTGAGAGAGAGTGAGACAGAGAAATGTCTTCCTTTGCCGTTGGTTCACCCCCCAAATGGCCACTACGGCCGGTGCTACACGCTGATCTGAAGCTAGGAGCCAGGTACC